GACATGAAGAAGAGGGGACACATGTTGATGTAGAAGAGACATGAAGAAGAGGGGACACATGTTGATGTAGAAGAGACATGAAGAAGAGGGGACACATGTTGATGTAGAAGAGACATGAAGAAGAGGGGACACATGTTGATGTAGAAGAGACATGAAGAAGAGGGGACACATGTTGATGTAGAAGAGACATGAAGAAGAGGGGACACATGTTGATGTAGAAGAGACATGAAGAAGAGGGGACACATGTTGATGTAGAAGAGACATGAAGAAGAGGGGACACATGTTGATGTAGAAGAGACATGAAGAAGAGGATTTTGCATAGGTGAACTTTAAGGCAGTAAAAACATTTGTTTATTTGCTTCGTGATAAAAGTTAAGGGTAAAATGTTTGAAAGTGTAAGTATGTGTCCTGCTCATTCTCAGTTATGTTTTGAAATAAATACGAGTGTGCAATTTCCCCGTCTTCTACCGTTCTTGTTGGAAACAATATATTATATTAGTGTAAAATGAGCAGAATAGGGCTTCCTTATTATGAATGTTCCCACAAACTGTCTACATTTAAATATCTAAACATGGTGTCATGACATCCGACTGAAAATAAAATGTATTTACAAATAAAAATAGAGAAACTGTACCTGCTTGTACTCGAACTCAGAGGAGAATCGTCTGGTCACTCCATTAATCAATCCTCCAAAGGAAAATGATCCACCACCGTACCTGAAGAGGCAAAAGGTAAAAGAAATGTTTGAACTTAATATAAATATACAAAAAAAAAAATTAAGAATGACAAGAATAAAACTCAGAAAACCTAAATATGTGCATTAAATCATAATTACAATTGGAAAGGCATGTATGTGTCTGCATGAGGAAGGGGATACTCACTCGTTGAAGATATAGTCCCATCTGGATCTGATGAAGTCCCAGGCCAGAGGCTGACCGACGGAGTTACTGGCGATGGAGATGATGGTGGACGTGGCGTCTTGTTTGCGGATCTTTTTGGGGTCCAGACAATACTCCAGGTACCTGAAACACACTCACAGTGAGGACAAAGGCCTAATACGCTGCGTTACAATTACTTGTCACCTGTAAAATACTCAGTAACCTAATCTGTGTGTCAGAGGGGTGTCCAAACCTTTTTCACCTAGGGCCACATACAGAAACACACGCTAAGGGCTGGGCCCCTCACTAGAGGAGAGGTATGTTGCCTCATAAGTTAAGTTATGAGTTAGCAAAATCAATCAAATGTAGGTTAATTATTCGTGATACATTAATATGCTTCAAGAAAACAAACATCACAGCCCATTTATTGTGTTAGCAGCTCAATCCTTAAAACAGAAGCTCAGATTGATTATAATAAAGGGAAATATGAAGGGTCTATTTCAAGATTGATTGGTAAATAAATGATTGGGCTTTTTTCTTATCAACTAAGATTTGTTAGAAAATGTTTTCTACTTTAATTGACTGAATGTATTTGAAAATGGGGCTTATTAACACATGACTACTGTACTGTGTAATGTATGTTTACATGTATATTTAAGAAGTACAATATAAGACAAGCTCACATTATCCTTTTGATTTTGTCCAACTTTTTCTAAACTAAAACAGATCCTGAATGGTTCTGAGCAGGACTTGTGAAGTGATGCTTGCTATTTCTTGTCGTTGTATTTATTTTTGGTTGTTTTGTACAAAGACATGAATTGTTTAAAACAATGAATCAAATATCACGGATGCCGATGACCTGAACTTTTATTTTCATGAACAATGAACGCTAGAGGGGGACCAGAAACGTTTTTAAACTTCTTCTTGCCCCTTTTGATCCAACCCAGTCTCACGGCATTTCGTGTCACGACATGTAATCTATTGATTCCTGTTCACCAACACGATGTCCCCATTTTTTTCGTGTCACACAGAACGATTTTAAAAGCAATGTATTTCTATTGGTAGTGTGTTTCGTGCCTGCACCACGTCTTTTTGTCCGCTCGGGTCTTGGAAGACCGGAAGCTGTGTGGTTCATAAAAACATTTTCTTACTCAATATCAAGCCACGATTTTTTATTTAATTTAATTTGTATAATGTCGGACTTTTTTTGTCGTCTGTGAAGAGCCTCAGAATACTGAAATCTGTATTTTTTAAAATATTTTTTTCCTTCTAATTTGTTATTATTTTCTAAATAACACACAGTTATTTAGTCAACAATAACACACAATTATCCTTGTTTTTATTTATTTGTTTAATTCCATAATCTCTGGCTTTTTTGGCGTCCGTCAGGAACTGAATTTCAAAATAAAAATAACCGGAAACAGACGTAGGCCTATAAGGGACATTTCGAGCATCAT